CACTGTCAAGTAAGTCTAAATTGAAATTTATAGGTTGGCGGCCTTATTTAAGAGGTTTGACAAGAGGTTTTTTCATCTGAGTTTGTGCACGCTTTAGACTGAAAGCCGAAAGCTTGCGTTTTTGAGGAAAAAACTTGAACCAGAGAACGTCCTTATTGGTCATTATAAACTAGCCTGTTAGCCCTTATGTTAGCACTGTTTTCAACGTGCTTGATTAAAAGTTTTACTGTACCAATTTTTGAACATAAACCCCTTAGCCAATATCATATTCTTATTTTCTTCTTTCAGAACCTACATTTGAATACGATGCGTTCGTTATTTTCAGCTCCCAAGATTCGGATTGGGTGGTTAAAACTCTTATTCCAACTCTCGAGGAAAAACACCATTTCAAATGCTGTGTACATTACAGAGATTTCGTTCTTGGAGTACCTTTCCGCGAAAATATGGTCAACAGTGTTTACAAGTCTAGAAAAACACTAGCTGTCGTGTCTAAGAACTTTTTTAATAGCAATTATTGTGGTTCTGAATTGGATTATGCCCTCCATCGACTTATGGAAAGGAGAGATGATAGTTTAGTCGTAATCAAAATTGATGACGTTGATAGAACAAAACTTCCTGAGGAGCTGCAAAAAAGAAGCTACATAGACCTTCAAAAGTCTGTTGAAAGGGATCACTGGGAAAGAAAACTGGTTAAATGTTTAACGCTTCCCAGCGATCAGCCACAGAAACAGATTCTGTAATAAGCTTTCTTTGTCTGAGCGGTCACATGCTCGCACGTTGGTGGTGTAATAAAGTGACATTTTCAACTTGCGCGGAATAGGTTACTCTCTACTTACCTTCCAATTCCTTGTGCTTTCAAATGAGACATCTACTTACATTTGCTCAGGCTTTCAAATATCAATCACTTTTAGTATCATAAATATTTGTAACATTTCAACATTTTTAGTCATTTATAGAGCAGTTCTGTAGGAAATTGAAGAGTTTCGTATTCAGGAACAAGAGATGACGATTGAAACTAACGAGTAGAGGGATAAGGAAGGAAAACGGTCTTTTTTCATCATGCATATATCTACCGTATGTTTAGTGACTCAAAACTCAGTCAAATCACAAGGTTTTTCAGAGAATTTTTTAAGGAAGTCCTCATACTAAGAATGTCATTGCATTCCAAATGCTTTGAAAATAAAGGCTTTATTTTCATAAGAGCCAATGCTATCACCTATTTTGGACAGACCCTATCTTACATAGTCAATATTATGTGAACTTTGTTGGATGGAAAATGTAAACTTACGAGTTTTCACCATACTTTGAAGTTTGAAATTAGCTAACTGGAGCTCCTTCTAAAATACTGATTCTAGGAATGAATTTTTTAGTGTAGCAGAAGAAAGAAAAGTAACCCCAGATGGTGAAAATAATTCACTTTCATCCTCCTTAAGTTGTCATCTTTGCCGGGCCGTGAAAATTTTCGGAGAGATGATGAGAAAGGAAGGATGTGACTGAGAAACTTTCATTCCAGCAAGGATGCTTTATTATCTCTTGGTGCAATTTCAATTTCAATAGCATAAAAAAATAATGGTGGTGCCCTTCCGTCAATTCCTTTAAGTTTCAGCTTTGCAACCATACTTCTCCCGGAATCCAAACACTTTGGTTTCCCGTGGAGGTGCCAAAGGGGTCATCCAAAAACACCCTCTGATCCCTCGTCGGCATCGTTTATAGTTAGAACTAGGACGGTATCTGATCGTCTTCGATCCTCTAACTTTCGTTCTTGATTGATGAAAACATTCTTGGCAAATGCTTTCGCAGTAGTTTGTCTTTCGCAAATCCAAGAATTTCACCTCTGACAGCGAAATATGAATGCCCCCAACTGTCTCTCTCAATCATTACTTCGGTTCCAGAAACCAACAAAATAGAACCAAAATCCTATTCCATTATTCCATGCTTACGTATTCAGGCGCCGGCTTGCTTTGAACACTCTAATTTTTTCAAAGTAAACGTCGCAGATCTCAAGCACACTCAGTTAAGAGTACACTCGGTCTCGGCGAGGAAGAACAGCTCGGCCAGTAACGTACCTCGCGGCAGACCGGCCGGGCCATCCCGAAATCCAACTACGAGCTTTTTAACTGCAACAACTTTAATATACGCTATTGGAGCGTTAAAGTTTCATAAAATCAATGAAATCTGTAAAAACCTCAAAACATGGTGAATAAGCTGCCATGCCCCCCCCCCCCTGAGACCCTGTGGTTGGTCGGCCCGAGGATACACGTTTAACAAAACATCAAACAAGTGATGGCGTTACTACTCATACATCTCATTACTCGGGCTTTTCAAAGGAAACGCCCGAGTTGAAATTCCAGCTTCGTTTTTTTTTTCGTTCGGCCGCAAATCGCAGTCAAGTCATCATCACGCATGCGCAACCTTCTGACTCTGACACATGCGCGAAGTTTTGAGCAATGAGTACATGGCATGGTGTAGTGGCAGACCATGAGGAGCTTTCGCGGATTAAAATCAGCACAGACATTGTATATAATACGCTCAAAACGCAGACAAAATATGCACACATCGTTCGCGGTAGACCCACACTAAAAGATGTCGTGCGTTTTCGGAACGGGTCGGTCCGCGAACCTTATGAGAGATCTCTTTATGAACGAACATTTATGAATGAACCTTTTATCAAGAAATATGTTATATCAACTGAGCTATCTAATGTAAGTCGAGAGAAGCATAGACGCAAATCTCATCGTGTATGTAGACCTGATCATGAACCAAGCAGAATACCAATACAAAGTTTGAAAAGGTTAAGGAACAAGAGCAAAAAGGTTAGAAAATTTGTCAATGCACGTATTCTTTCTTGTATCCCCATGTCATCTACATTGTACTGTTATGTTAATGCTAAAAAAAGCTATTAAATAAAAGGACGTTTAAGTTTAACTGTCGTGAAAGAATTCGTCAAAGTATCAGAAAAGTAAAATATCATGCCTGTCGATATTTAACATTGTTTTCTTGTAACAAACTGATGTGTTCTTGCAAGAATGAGGCTCGTGTAGCAAAATATTGCAACCATAAATTAAGTAGAGACAAAAAAAAATCCTGATCCTTCAATATATGTTGACCCTAACAGAACAACAGTAGCTCCATACAGTCAAGGTAACGAGTTAGTTTTTGGACAGAATGCAGGACAACAATGTGTTGCAATGAGTTTGTGTTCTTTGATTTAAAATAACATACAAGGGATCAGCTCTGCAAATGATCTTATACAAATAATGGATATTGGAAATCAGCTTTATTCAAGTTTGTCATGATTAGCCAGGCAGGCATGTTTAATGCAGTCAGAATTACCAACAGCATTAAATGTGTTTGACGCTGATTATCAACTGGAATACAGTGAAAGCTACTCTTGTACTGTTCATTAAGAAATTGCTATAGAGGGATATCAGTACTGTACGTCTTTACGAAGAGCCTTTGAGTCGCTCATATCTGAAAGCTACACCAATTTCATATTAACAGTAGGGTGTATTACTGTTGCAACCTATTGTAATAGTAATATGGAGCTCAAAATATTTGATTCTCATGCTAGAGATTTGTATTGTTCTTGTTGGATGACAATCTCTAATAATATACCCTTAAAATATTATCATTGTAATTAGTAGATATAAAGTCATGAAGAAATATTAAAACTATTATAATCTTACAGTGTGCCTTTTTCCTCACTGCATATATACAGAATGAAAAAAGTTAGTTAATTTTCATATGTTGATAAAAATTTGCAATTACTGTAATTAATAGACTCTGAATTTTTTGTACATTATCAACTGCTACAAACTAAATGGTCATTTTTCACTTGAGGGCATATGAAAATAATGGTTTTGATTAGAGTGATTTCAATAGGCCTGGGTGCTGCTGATGAATTACATTAATGATATTAGATGCTAAATGCCTTGTGACTTTTCGTTTCTTTACATCTTTTAGAGTGATATTCATTTACCCATGAAATAAAGAAATGACTATTTAGTTTGTAGTAGTTGATAAAGAACAAGATAAAACAAAAAAATTAACAGTACACCGCCAACTATCAATTACCCTATTCTTTCACAGAAAATGAAAATTACTCTAAACACTAACAGTTAAATAGCACTCACCAGGTTTAGTGAAAGCACTCTAGCCCATAAACCAAAATGTATTAACTAAAGTATACTAGCCCAGTATCTCCAAATGGAAAAAACAAATTGGGAGGCAATAGTGCAAAATATGCTAAAGAGTATTTCACACATTCATGAGAACCTCTTCAATAACCCCATAAAATTAATAGTTCATCTGGTAATAACCTTTGGTGGTGACTTTTTGTTTTCTTTTGGTTAAGAGTCATCACCCTAGCACTTGGGGCTGTTCATAATTAAAAGCTATCTCAACCTGAAACTTTTGTCAACCAAGAAAAAGAAAACATAAGAAGACAGCCTGTTAGGCAAAAGACTTACCCTGCTACAACCCTTAACCTGCAAAACAAAATTTAATTAAGTCAATACTTAAAAAAAAAATGAAAATAGTGTATCGTAGTAAGTATTGAAATAATAACCAATTATACATGTCACTACCTGCCCCCACCCCACCCCAGAAAAGGGTCTTTACACAACATAACAAATACCGTTTTCAGCTCAGTATATATATATATATATATATATATATATATATATATATATATATATATATATATATGTGAGAAACCTGCATCTCTGGCATACCAAGAGAAAACTCAGTTACAGGAGAAATCAATAATTGCATAAAAAAAACTTAGGCTAATGCAGGCACAAAAAACAAAGTTTACTTCCAACAGAAAGCCCGGGTGAACGCAAATATGGGTCTAGTTTGAATTTTATAATAGAATACGAATATGTCCACTCCAACGGAGAAGATATAACGATGAAAAACCCTGTAATGGGGTTATCGACCTTTTTCGACCTCGAAACGTGCTCAGGTTTAATTGCATTATGGCACAACGCCAGACAAAAGGATCTTAAGACGCCCATAACAGATTTGGCCGACTTCGCTTTACCAGCCTCGAGCCAAACATGGACGACACACATTCAATTGTTTTAGAGTTACTTTTTTGTGTGGCCTTGATTACTTCCCCTGTATATTCAGGTATGTATCACGGAGAAATATTCTGAAGGGAAAATGAAAATGAGTATAACGGAAATATTATACGCTGTGGCTATAAGGCCGGTAAAGTCAAGCGATCTTGAAGCGCTTTATAGATCAATCATCTCAAGTCTAGTGTTTGGTTTACGCTGCGCTCAGAAGAAAGGAAGGACCCGACACAGACGAGCTGAAAGAAATTCTAAGTGTCACAAAACATGGTTTCGTCTTCTGAGCCCAGCGTAAACCAAACACCAGACTTGAGATCTATAAAGCATTTCAAGATCGCTTCACTTTTCTACTGATCGACATATGGTAATTTAGATTAGCTGAAATTTTTCGATCTTGTGAAATTTACTGAGAATATACGATTGCCAGCCATTCAGTGTTTTCAACACCTTGACCGGTTACCGGCCATAAAGCCACAGCGAATATTATAATGCATATAGGCGTCAGTACATGACAGAGCGAGGGATAGATTTTCTATCAGAAATAATATTTCCCTTACTACTGATTCTTTCTTGGGTCAGGAACAGAATCATGGTGTTCATTTTCAGGAAAAAGCTTAAAGCACAATGGTGAATAAATCTTTGAAATGAATATATCGTGTAAGTAGTATTGTTCTAATGTTCTATAAAATAGTGTTATTTGAGTATGAAACTCAACACGTACAGATGACTGACCAAATAATCGATCGCTACTTTGGTTCATTTGTATGCAATTCTCGCTTTAACGTACAATCGACAAGCATTGTCGTCAGTCATGGGTCATTGATTCTTCCTTTTACTGATATTTATTCTTTCACACAGGACATTTCTTCACAGAATAAGCATACCCCTACTTCCTTCCTGTAATGTTGCTCGGAAACCGCGAACGATATAGTTTTGGCGCGGTTTTAAGGAACATGTAATAGATCAATCCAGTTTGAAATTCTTTCTGAGATCTCATCCTTTAGTTACGCCTGCTCAAGTACCAGAAAATAGAAAACTTTTGACTTTGATCAGAAAGGTGTTTATGTATCCGATTGCCTTTAGTTGCAGGTCTTTGTTCAGTCAGGTATCCTCGCTATTTCAAAAGTTTCATAGGTCAATTTATTACCAAGAGTGTTACTCCGGGTAATGCTCGTTCTCGAAAATTGAACAGTTTGGATTGTGGTTATTTCTCTTTTTAGACAATTTTGCACCCCGCATTCAAGCTACTCCAAAACTTAAATACGCTGAAGTTGGAGACATAACACGGTTACGATGTGCGGTGACAGGGCTTCCACCACCGTCTATCACATGGATCAAGGATAAACAACCTTTAAAGCTCTCGGAAAGGGTAAGTAAGCTGAACAACGACAAAACCATAAAGATAAAAGGAGTCAGACTCGATGACCAAGGCAACTACTACTGCTTTGCTGAAAATCCTCTTGGTAAAGTCAACCTGACATTCGAGCTAAAGGTGCGTCATAATCACAATCTAGCGACGACTGAATCGCTATCAGCGTCTCAAAAGCCGACCACTGAAAAGCAGATTAAAGGTGAGCAGTCATATTAGAGTCACAGGGTTCTTCTCGATGAAACTGCTTAGTATGGTTGTTCTTTCTAAGTCTGACGATGAAACCCTTAAGTTCTTGAGGTCATTTTCTAGTCGTTTGGTGTCACTATTCCGTAGTGAATTTCGTTTTATAAGACTGAGAAACACTCTTAGCAACTAAATGTCGCATCAAACGTTCAATTCATGGGTGTGTTCAACGTTCTAGCGACAGCGGTAAATGTCTTCTTACACAGTTAAGTCAATCAGCATTCTATTCCAAGCTTAACTTTCTTCATCAAGGTGCAATTGCGGCCTGCGTGAAGGCTCGCACTGCGAACGCGTTCGCTCCATCAAATCGCCCGCTAGGTAGTTTGAAACTGCTTCGCCGCTCGTGTAGCAGCGTTAATGAGAGGCTGTTCACAAGCTAGCGAAATTGGAGCATTTTCTTAACTGGGATCGCCACAGGGCAAACATTGCAATTCGCTTGAAAGAAATATATGGCGAAAGGTTGTTTCGTCAAAAAAACGATTTTGGTGATATATCGTTTTTTTTTTTGCCGCTGTTTTATCAGAAATGAGTGTGGGTAATATTGATACGAGGGAAGGGCAAGGTTTTGTGTGAACAACCGTCAAATACGTAATGAAATCTAGCGATTAACTTTTCTCTATGCGCAAGGGTTTGGTGAAATTGACATTGCGTAATGATCTCGAACTTTAGAAATGTTAGTTTTAAATCGCCAAGAAATAACTCAATAGAGCCTTTTCAGTTTAATTTACTTGTGTTAAGTCGAAATCTAGCTTTTTTATTGGCTTGATAATAATAAAAAAAAAACCTACAACAATTACCAAGAGGCAGCAGGAGTTTGAAATTGTGTGCTTGAGCATTTAATATTATCATGACATATTGGTGATTAACACCTACACTGCCTCTTTTTTGTGATCAATGAGAACGAACCAGCGTTGATAATCGGCTCAAAACTGAACACTTCGTTATGCGACGATGAGTGGGTACAAATGGGTCGCTTAAAGAGCGATGCACGACTGAATATATATGTCCATATTTTCTGCCGGAGTTCCCGTGATCTTGCTTTTCCTGACAAGATCCTTCAAGGAGTTCGAGGAGATAAGTGGCAGCTCAAAAACCTTGGTTTTTCTCGACAAATTATCACTTGACCTAAGGATTTTCGCTTGTTTTTCATTGCCTATTTCATCCTTCCAAAGAGCAACAGCTCGGTAAAAACAATTTCCATCTCTGCTGACGACTTCTCTCATTTGAGGAGGTCTATTTTCAGACATCGTAATATGTTTATTTAATATAATAACAAGTATAAAAACAGGCTGTACATACAAAATACAACTGAAAAAACTTAAGTGAGTTATATCCGTGCGATTTAAGGCTAATTTTGTAACATGTCGAGTTCATTATATAATTTTCAAGAATTTTCTCAATTCGTAGTTATTCTTCTACTTTTGTTTTCCGGAATTTTTTTTTCCTTTTGAAGATGTTTTTTTATTCACCTTTTATCTAGCGCTCTCAACAGGAGAGTCTACCGCCATCGTTTACACTTTTCTTCATAAGCATACATGTTTTTATGGAAATGAGGTCGATTTGTGGAAAAAATTACTTCGACAATAAAAAGAGCGTCCCAGGCTTCGAAATTTGTGAAATTTTGTGAACGCTAACTGAACTGTTCTCCATCAAAAACGGCAAACTTCCTGGACGGTAGCAAAGTGCCGATGAACCCATACTTTCTATGTAAAGTTTCTTAACGTCTTGTGGATGAGAGAATATCAGATGTATTGGGCTGAAAATTTGAGAGACAGTAGATATGTCCAATATTTCGATTATCTAGTACCAACACTCTTGTAGCTCGATAGGAAAATGAAGAGCCTCTGTTAACGAGCATAAAATGTAAACAAAGATTTTTTGTAACAATCATGCAGCATAAATTGCCTCTTTAGACTGTAGCTTTAGTCATAAGTATTAACAACAAATCGCTGTTTTGTGGAAAAATAACTGCACACTGAAACAAAAGCGTGGATATAAGGGAAAGGAAAAATTAACAACAGATATAAAGCGCTCTTAGAAAACTGAGCAAAATCGAAGCATTTTATTGAGGAGTCTCACATATTTAGAACCCTGGCAGTGTTAATCTACTTTCTTCAAAGCTTACCACAGTATTCGTTCATTTTTTATCAAACTTTCTTTGTTCACGTTTCAGCAGCTGTACAATTATTCAAACGCATAAACCAGAATAACGAAACATGCATATTAGTTATATTAATTCAGAATAAACTGTATTACGAAAAAGAAAGGTCTAACGTGCACAGTATTAATCATAAACTTAAGCTACTTTGTACTTCGCTTAAAATAGGTCAGAAATATCTGTATTTTTGGCTGTACTTTAGCAGGAGCACCAATATTTAGTGATCCAAACTTACTGAAGAGATCGTTCAGGGCATGGCCTGCATCACACTCCATACGACTAAAATGTCCAGCAATTGGTGCACCACCGCTCAAATACAAATGGTTGAAGGATGGAAAGGACTTAAAGAAACGACTGAAAAATGGAATTGTTGATACGTCCCTTTGGTACCTGAAATATATTATGGGTGCAACTGTTAATACTTCACTTTGGTACCTGAAACTGCGAGATCTTGTACCCGCTGATTCTGGGAGATACACTTGTATAGTGTCCAATCTATATGGATCAATAAATCACACCTTTACGCTTCAAGTTGTTGGTAAGTCCGGTTAAACATACCGTAGAGGATTCATCAAGAAGCAAACTTCAACAGTGCGCATATTTTTTATGATTGTGTTGAAGTAGTTTCAACAGCTTTATTTAATTCAATCCGCAAAAACTTCACATCCTACTTTTGAAGAGTTTTCCGCCAAACTAAGTAAAGTTGTAGCATCTTTTGAGCTCTTTGCATATGAATTTTCTTCGATCACATTGATCACTTCCTAGGAAACATTGACACAATCGAAGAAAACGCGTGGCAGACATTTTTAAACTTTAGCGTCCTTGCTAGAATCAACTTGCGCGAGGTAATTATAACGAAGTATGACGCCATCTTCAACCAATCAGAGCGTGCGCATCTCTATAATCAAAGGAGCAATTATACTAATCATAATTAAGCAACACTTGTTTTCATGTTTACATAGCCACCTCTAATCACTCAAAGAGTTAGATTTCCTAACCTTTGGGAATTCTTCTTACCCCTCGGGTGTTTAGAGTTAGGTAAGTGAAGAAGGAAAAAAGTCGAGTTGAACACTCGAAGACAACTTCCATATCTACGCGCGCCATTGTATTATTCTCTAAATAACAAACGCAAAGTGATACGTGAGACGTGCAAGTAAACAATTATATGAAAACAGTATTATTTAGCGAAACACTAGAGAGACAAGATGGCGTCCACTTTAATATCAACAATTTTTCGCGTGCAATTTAGCCGACATATATGGACACGTAATTTTCCAGATCTCGAAAATTTTTCAGCGTTTGAAAATTTGTCTATTGGCATCTGATTTGCAAATCATGTGGTGATCTTTTTATAGCTTCAAGTGTCTTCTCTTCAAATTATCTTCCCTTTTCTCAACAGCCAGACCTCGGTCGGCTCCAATCCTACAGACAGGTCTGCCAAAGAACAAAACTGTGCAAGTTGGAGATAATGCAACATTTACCTGTATTGTTCTTGTTAGTGGAACTCTCCCAGAATTCAGATGGCTTAAATGGAACAAATTCGTCAATTCTATTCCGAAAACTTACAATGAAATTTTAAATGGATCATATCGCCTTGTAGACCCATACTATTACAAGACCGTTCGAGTAAAAAGTAATTATGGTGTCGAGTTGAATATTGTAAATGTGACTGAGGACGATTTTGGACTCTACACTTGCTTTGTGAGCAATCATATCGGCAACGATTTCACTAGTGCATTCCTCAGCAAAAATGTGCAACCCAAGGATGCTGTTACGGGTTAGTATCTGTTAAAAACTCGACGTCGCACACTTTCACGCATACTCTCCAAATGACTCCCTTTCTATAATGTAACTTCCAAGAAATCCCCGTACCTATGCAAATTAAGCTTTGAGGTTTGTTTGGAAATAGGACTACAAATGGAATGCTACCTCTGAAGTTTGCGTCCTTGAGCAGTTTGAAGTCTCGCATTTTGAAAATTATACTTCGAAGCTTGTACTCTAAAATATAACGGCGAATGCAACAATGTGCACATAACTTTTAAAACTTCACCTTTCAGTAATACACTCTTGCTTTGGAGAAATCACGTTGACAAGGATCTCAGCGGTTGCTCTGAAAGTATTTAAAACCCTCAAGTCCTTCAAGAAAAGTACTAGCTTTTAAAATAAGAGAAAGCACAAATTACAAGTTGTACAAATGTATGATCATGAAAAAATGAAGACGACGGGAGGTGACCTTAACTACAGCTATGAAGCTTGTCCTTTTCACCTGAGAGTAGGTCTGCGTTCATTGTTTTACATTTCAAACTCTCTTTGCAGTATGGACGGAATAATTTCAACTAGTCATTTCATTGAAAGACAAAACTCTATGTGCTAACAAATCAGTACTTTCGTATAAATTGATCGTAGTCGACCATGATTCCCAACAAGTGAATAATCTAAGCCGGCCAGAAAAACTGCATGTCAAATAATTTAATTTTGTTTAAATTGTCAATTCTTTTTACATTTTTGCTGAACTTAGGAGATCTATTTACATCAACGGTATCGACAGTTGGATTGGCACCAGTGAGTGTGACTGAGAACCACTCAGGTAAGCTGTAAATCATCTATAGGTACCCTATACATGATTGTCCAGTGGAAGACGCTCCGCCACAACTATCAAGGTTGGTGGCCACTTCGAAACGCAAATGAGTACCAACAACCTAAACTGGAAGAAAACTAAGAGGGTGCGTGGGTGAGCAGGTGGTAGTGCACTGTTGCGCATAGTTCACCAGGAGTTTTTTTTTTTCTTTTGAAGCATTTACATGCGAATCAAAAAATACCCACGAATTGCAATTTAATCATTTCTACATTTTTTTTCAAGGGAATAAATGATCCTCGCGGGTAAGCTGCAATTAAATTAGGCTCCTTTGCAGCTGCTTAAATTGTCGCTCACCTGCTAGGATTATTCTTCACTTGAATTTTATCTACAGTTCTAAAATGAAATTGATTTCATAATTATTGTGATCTAAATTTTTTCCGTTATTTCTCGACAGATGTTCTTGGAAAACAACACCCTCAGCCGGTTGATCCTAACCACTCGAGATACATTATTCCGGTAGCGACGCTGTTATGTGGAGCTGTCATTGCTGCAACCGTGGTGGCATGTTGTCTTTGGAAAAAACTAAAAGGAACGTTTCCACGTCAGGCTTTACAGATGGATGTAATTACTTATTCAGGAGAACCAAGAAAATTACACAACGAGTACGTCTCCCCACCCCCCCCCCCAAAATGTGAATAGACCGTTAGAGTAACTTCGTTTGACCTCAAAAGAACGAACCGTTCGACGTAAACAGAGCCAGCAGACTAGTGAACTTAAATATACCCAAATAGATTAACCCTTTCCAACATCAGTATGCATATTCTCCATACTGTTCTCTATACATTTCCTAAGGTGCTGACAAGGAGAATTTGTTTAACAATCAAGAGCTCCTTTGACTGTCATTTTCTTTATTCTCATAACCTGAATGTGTGATTCAGAGGTGATGTTGTAAGGAGAAATTAGATGCTAGTCACTCTTAGGGGTTAAACGGTTATAAGGTAGCGATGGTTGAGAAATAGCTAAGTTGCCGTATAGTAACTGTAACGTTCATCATACGACTTGACAATAAACGTGTCGAAAAAAGCAAATAGAATCTTAAGCCTATAACCCTGTACAAAGTATAGTGCAATTGGTCTATATCCTGATCTTAACAATTAATCCGATTTCAAAAGGTTTTCAAATTGGGTTACATGGTCATAATTCCTCCCCAGTCTCCAGCGTACGAAGTCACTACACCATGGTCAATTACGCCCGTTGTTAGACAAATCATGCCTTTGCGTATGTCAAGGTCAGACAGCAATACTGTGGTTATACTTCACCTTAAGCTGTCATCTATATTATCTGCTATGTTAGCTCCTAATATCTGCAAGAGGTGTTCTATCCACTTCTAATAACAGTCATAATACAAAGCAACAACTAGATAATAGTCACGCATTTTCATAGTTTCATCATCTAGCCGAGGATTCTCTGCACTCGATTTCCGCTGATCTTTAGAGCCAACGGCTGGTTATCTAGAATCCTCTAATGACTGTTTTTGAGTTGCAAAATATCAGTGTTTCTGTTTATGTTGTTACCAAGTTAGAAAATGGAGTGAAAAACAGTTTGAATTGGTTTAGAAATTGTGGCAGGGGAACCTACCATTTCTTGCGCACAGCAGCTAAATATTTTGCTAAGTTTTGATCTTTGCTACTAATTGTTAGAAAATAGCCAACTTGGTTGTTTTTCCGTTTTATTATTGGAGGCGAGTGATTGAATTTAATCTCAGTTGATTTCCTTTTCCTTGCTTGTTCTTTTTTTTTTTTTTATCTTGTTATTTTATCATGGTTCTTCTCACGTTATGAATCCCGCTGCAGCTTGCGCAGAAAATTAACATGTTTTCACTATTAAGCACCATCCACGCGATGGGAAAATAACTAAAAATAGAAGAAAGCTCTTCACTAAATGCTTGAGTGGCTTCTGAGAGCCACTGATATGTGAAGAGGGCGTAAGGAGCACTTAAGAATAGACTCCAAGTCATTTTCGTTCGCGAATACCTACATGATTTATAGCATGAACAACAAAGAGAGTGTGATGTTATGCAACTGGTACAACTGGTATACAATACTCTGACAAAATGAATTGTTTCGGAGATTAAGGTAAGTGAACATATCACTGCAAGGCCAGTGTTTACAATGCTGAAGCGATTGTCGGAAAATTTTTTGTCTGATACCCTTCGAGACTTAGACCACCAACAGCTGCTATCAAAACAGTCTAGATTTTAACAAAATATACGCGACAGGTTAACGAATTTCTCGTCCTCGCCATCTAGCAACGAGTCATAGAGTGATATGGAAGCAAAAGAGACGGCAGAGTGAGGTAAAGTGAGCATATTAACATCTTCCTACGAATGTAGCACTTTGCGAAGGCTTATACAGCTCATAAAAACAAAAACAAAAACAAAAAAGATACAATAAATTAATAACATGATAAAAATTATGGTTTAAAAATTGAGGAGCGTATGAACTGCAGCATCGTAGTTATCGCTGATCATTAAGCTCGTACCGTTCAAGACAATTTAATTACAACGTTATTCGTTGGCCCTAATCAAGGTGAGCGTGTTACCACTATCACAATATTTCAATCAAAAATGGTTTTTATAATTCTCAGAGCTTGAGAATCAAGTTTATTCCAAACTTTTGTCACCCGCAGAAGTTATGTCCCGGATTTGCTCGCTGTTCATCAAATCTTTAATTAAAACGGAAGTTTCTCGGTACCTCGGCAGTTAACAAATGTACAAGCCTCTCAACCTTTATGATGCACATTAGATATAGACGATAAAAACATAACTTTCATGACCACTCGGTAAGTGAGAACTTGTTCATGTTTAATCTGTCGCTTCTTGTGCTGAAAAGAATGTCAAAGTTTCCACCGCAGACTTTCATCAACTTTTTTACGAATCATCAGAATGGGTAATTTGTGTACGTGCTCACCGATTTTTTGCAAACAATTTGCGGCAAGATCATCTGCATGTAAATTACAGAGTAGGAGAGGGCGTATTGATGAAATTGTCGTCTCTGTCCCTTTCGCCCTTCGAGCGTGGATAATAACTTGTCTTTTAAAACAATTCCTTAGTCAATTATATGAAATATTATCGTATTCCGGAGACCTTTTCGACACAATAAAGTGGAAATTTAGGATCAAAGCCAAATCTACATCTGCTTTCCCTTGCGTGGGAGGGATGACAGCTATGCCGATTTGCTTCGCTATCGGCAATGCAAAGCAGTTATAATTAATTGCTCTGAAAGTTATGCATTTCAATTTATCTCTAAATCTAGACGGCCACTAATAAACCTTATTCGTGCGTTTACTTTAAAGCTATTTAAAAAGTCAATTCCTTAAACCTCACGTTTAAAACGCTGTTGAGTTCGTGTCGTGCTCGAAAGTTAATGAAATGTACTGTAGTAGCTCCAAATCATTAAAGATTCATGACCGGATAAGAGCATTTACGTTAGTGATATCAAAAGCAACTGCTGACAAATTAATAAAGAGAATGGCAAATAACTCTAATTTCCATTCTCGATGATTGAGGACACAAATACGAAGAAGATTGTTCCCCCGTGACACCTGCCATTTGCCCTTAGGCTCTGATAATGCTATTGTGTAGCTGCCAAGACCGCTAAACCGATTTGTATACCTTCGAAGGCAAAATGTTCTAATTTGTTATCAGTCTGCATGTTAGAGGTTTACAGCAGAACGATAATTGCACAGAAATAGGATTAGTGTAAACAGGGGTAAACAACGAATCGCTGCGAGGATTCAAGACTGCTCTTAGCTGTGCGCAATAGTTGAAATGAAATCTCTTGAGTTCCAACGTTTTCCTTGAACTGGACGTGGTTGAAGGTATGGCCTGTAGTACAACATAGTGTGCTGCATCACTTTAAGAAATTGGTGTAGACAGTATTAAAGGATATGTAATTGTAATATTGTTTTTTGAACATAATTTCGAAACCATAAATGTATTCTTTACGTGTGACATGGACCCTTGATTGAAAAGGCAAAATATAATCCCAATACAGAATCTTCAGGGCTATTTCCCTTTGATACAAAAAGCGGCTTTTCAAGAAAAGATTAAAAAAGGAAAAAAATCGTTGATAATTTTAGGCAAAGGTTTCACTTAGCTCTCGATATAACAAGGAAGAATTTCATCTCGGCTGGCTACTTTTCTCAATAAGCGAAAATGGAATGCTAGAGTAAGGAAAGTGGAAGCCTTTAGTACAAAAATATCTCAAAAAATGCTAGCCTGGAAGCAAGGAATAATTAAAACTAATACCACCACGAATTATGTCGCGGTATTTATGCAGCGTTAAAGTAGTCCTTAGGCTAAATGTTCCGTGAACTTTGCCGTTTAACCATTAAATTTTCATTCCGTCTGAACTTGAATTAGAAGAGTCACCTGTGGTGACGCTGACGTGTACTTACTTTCATGATTCGACCATTATAGCCGCAAGACGTAATGAGAAAGGTTCCAACACTTTCGCAAAAAAACTCGACACCAACGAATCTTTGGCCAAAGTTGTTTCAATAAAGAAAAGATTTTTTCGAAAGTAGTTGGTGCAGGTTTCAAGGCGAGCACTGGTCAGACATCATAAACAACTACACAGAGTCTGCCTCAAACCTACTCTCTGATGAACTTCTAAGCACGACATCAAGTAAACACGCTCATAGAAGTAAAGAAAAAAAATGATAAAATCCAGCGACGAGGATTTATCGTCTCGGACCTTAAATAATTCAAAATAAACTAAAATCAGAGGTACCTTATTTTGTGAATACATAATGTAAGGAAGTACGGGGGCGGGCAATTTTTGGATTAGCAAGCAATTTTTGAGCTCTTCCACTGTTGCTTAAAAAACAGAAAGAGCAAGTAGGTGCTGTTTCATAAGCTTTGTTACATAAAAGACGTTGTTACGTTCCGTTTTTATTCAGCTATCACTAAATCAAATTACTGTGTATTTGAGGTTATAAATAGAAGTATCAAGCTTGACCAACTCGTAAAGATATAGCTCGTGGTTTTGAGAAATATACGTTTAAATGTAGAAATTATAACAATAACGTTAATTCTTGATAAGGCGGTGGGTTTAAAATGAATCAACTTTCAATTCATCCTTCAATTTAATCAAGTTACAAACTTTGATAAGAAATCTTAGCAACTCTACAGCATAACAAAAGAAACCTTCATTCTTTCTCCAAATACTCATAATCCGAAAACATGTTTAGTATCTGCACTTGACAGCTCAATAACATTTACGTCTAGCTTGAGTATATGCATATCAACCTTTCTGTCACGATTAACTTCGCTTTTACAGAACAATTTAACCAAAGTTACGGATTAATGGTCATGACAAGTGACTAGCTTAAACTCTGAAGAGGTAAAAACAGTCTTAAAACCCACCGCTAAGGATTAAAAAAAAAATCTTTGTGGCAGAATATATCGTCTGGATAAGCTCCGGCTCTTCAAACTTAATTATTCGTGAAGGGTTTTCATTTTAATATCGCAATATAGCGATATGGCCGGAAAAGGCCAAACAACGACGAAACAAAAAAAATGAAGAAAAAAACCGAGATGTACAATCATTTAAACCGAAATCAAATGCAATGTTTACACGTTGTAGATGATTAAATCTATAACAATTGTCTTACAATATCATAATAGTCGTTTTCTAATATTGTGAAGTAAAATAAATGAATTGAAGCGAAAAAAAAATGTTAAAGTACATATTAACCATATTAAGACAAATCACAAAACTTCATCATTTAACCC